CCCAGGCTGGCCACAGCCCATGGGTTGGAGGGTCCCCGCTGGGGCCTTTGGCAAGCTGCAAACAGCCATCAGCACCTTCACCCAGGCTGGCCAGTCACCCCAGCAGGACCCCCACCCTGATCCCAGGACACCCTTCAGGGAAAACCAGCCGGCCCCCACCCATGCACCAGGGCCTCTATCCTATATAATAAAAGGGTAATATGCAAATTGACCCTAACAGCAGAACAACTGGGAATGACTGGTCACTATGACACACACTGACCACCAGGGGGCAGATGCTCAATGCAGGAGCTGCCCCCTGGTGGTCAGTGCGCTCCCACAGGGAGAGCTCTGTTCAGCCACAAGCCAGACTGACGGCTGCCAGTACAGCGGTGGTGGTGGAAGCCTCTCCTGCCTCCTCAGCAGCGCTAAGGATGTCCAACTGCAGCTAGGCCTGCTCCCTGCTGGCAAGTGGACATCCCCCGAGGGCTCCTGGGCTGCCAGAGGGATGTCTGACTGCCAGCTTAGGCCCAATCCCCCGGGGAGCGGGCCTAAGTCAGCAGGTGGTCATCCCCTGAGGGGTCCCAGACTGCGAGAGGGCACAGGCCAGGCTGTGGGACCCTCCCAAGTGCACAAATTTTTGTGCACCGGGCCTCTAGTAACATAATAAGAGAGAACCCATGGGGAGTGGTCTCCCCAGCGTACTCTGCTCCTCACCCAGCCCTGCCTTAGGTTTTCCCCACTTAGAGGACCACCCACCCTTCAGCAGGCTGCAGGTTCATAACAGGAAGGCAAGGGCTCTGTCTGTCTCATTCCGGCTGTACCTTATTCCCAGAGTCTAGAACAGTGCCAGGTAGATATATAGTGTGTTTGTATGTATATGTAGGTATTTATGCATCTGGTGTGTTGATAAATGTTTAACAACCTGGTTTCTAAGGAGGAAAAGCCCTGCTTTGTAGTATCTGCCCATTTCCCTGGCGTAAATACTCTCACCATGGCTGAATTTCAAGTTACTAGGATGATGTCAACCAACACACAAACTTCCTGAATATTTGACAGTGTTTCTCACAAGCTAGCATGAACCAGTGTGCGCACCCTGTAGGAACTCAGCACAGGTTAACAAAGTCTGCTTTGCAAACTGTCAGGCATTGTTCCATGTTCACTTACCCTGTGCCCCTTTCTCTCCAGGAGAACCCAGACAGCGTCCCCCCCATTGATGTCCTCTGGATCAAAGGAGCCCAGGGTGGTGACTACTTCTACTCCTTCGGGGGCTGCCACCGTTACGCAGCTTACCAGCAGCTACAGCGAGAGACCATCCCTGCCAAGCTTGTCCAGTCCACCATCTCAGACCTAAGGGTGTATCTGGGATCCTCCACTCCAGACTTGCAATAGCAGGCTCTTTGGCACCTGCCACCACTCCTAAGAGCCCAGAAGAAGATATACCTGGTTTCCAGTGGGCTGGGCTGTGCAGAAGGTGTAGCAGGGGAGCATTCTCTTTGCGCCTGGAGGGAGGAGGGTCTGACTCTAACCACCCTCTTTGCTAGCTACAAGACCTTGGACTCACCACTGAATGGCAGGGGACCCAGTTCCCACTGCTGTGAAAATGGGTCATGTCTTTGCTTTTGAGGGATTATTAAGAGGATGAAATGAGAACGGAAATGGGTTTGGAGAACCACATGTGACTGGCTCCAGATTCCCAAGGACAAGGATCCTTCTGGATTTTTGTCTTTGTATATCCTATTATGTGGAATACAGTTAGCTGTCAGTAAAGGAAAACCGAGATTAACAAAGAAAGGTTTGTTTTTCCACATAGCATCCATTTTGGAGACAGATGACTAACGGTATTGCTTTAACAACTCAGCGAAGGTAGACCACACATCTCGGTGGTCCTTTCGGTCTTTCCCTCATTGCTTGCGACTTCATGGTCACAAGGTGGCTATATTCAAGGAGGAAAGTAGTGGGGGAGAAGGAAGGGCTGAGCCTGCTGGACCTGTCAACTTCTATCATAAAGTCAGACCTTTTTCAGAGGCCTTTGTCCTGCTCTCTGCCCTGCATAGTTCCACTTAGGTCTCCTGGGCCCAAACCAGCTACCATTGCTACCCCAAGATGCAAAGAAAGCTCAGACAGCAGGAAACAGAATTGTCACAATTGAGTAGACCAATCATATCCCATCTCCTGCGACTGGCACACTGCCTCTTGAAATAAAATCAGAATCCCACTACAAAGAGAGAAATGAGCAATTGTATCAGCTAGTTTTTTGCTGTGTAACATACCATTCCCAAACTTAGTAGCTAAAGACAAGTCGTTTAATTTACCCACAATTCTGTGGGTTGGCAGGTTGGACTGGGCGTAATCTGGACAATTCTCGATGTCGCCTAGGGTCATTCCAGGACTG